ATAATTATAGGTAAAAGTAAAAAAAAAAGTAATAATAATAATAAAAATAAAAAAAGTTAGTAAACTAGACATAAAGAAGAGGATAATTATAGGTAAAAGTAAAAAAAAAAGTAATAATAATAATAATAATAAAAAAAGTTAGTAAACTAGACAAAAAGAAGAGGATAATTATAGGTAAAAAAAAAAAAATAATAATAAAAAATAAAAATAAAAAAGTGAAATGTATTAATCCTAATGGGCGTGTATAGCACCTTCCGTTTGCGAATCTTTAGCACCGTAATTTCGTTCTGCGTTCGTTCCGTTTTCCGTTTTTTTTTTTTTCGTTTTTTTGTGTTTTTGTTTCGATCCAGTTTTTCTCTTTTTCTTTTCCTTTCCTTTCCTTGGCTTTTATCAATGGCTTTCTTTCTTATTTTTTTATTTTATTTAGTTTTTTTTGGTTTTGTTTCGGTCCAGTTTTCTCTTTTCTTTTCTTTCCTTTCCTTGGCCTTTACCAATGGCTTGCTTTCGCTTTCTTTCTTATTCTTTTCTCTTTTTCTTCTTTATCGTCTGTTTTTTTTTTATTCACTATTTCCGAGATATAGATAACGAATCATAATGATTTTCCTTCGCTTTTTCTTTCAAAGGAAACACTATCTATTCATCACAAGTCAAATAATAACAATCATTATTATTATCATTATCATTATTGTTATCATTATGATCATTATTATCATTTTGATCATTATTGTTATTATTATCATTTATCATATCATTATTATAGGGATGATAGGATGAAAATAAGATAATTATAAGAATGATAATAACAACAATGTTTTTTTTCGTCTTCTATCACTTCAAGATCTTCCAGTTCGATCTCAAGACAGTAGCTGGTTCGGTGTCTTCCTTCTCCTTCTCCTCTTTCTCCTTCTTCTTCTTCTCCTTCTCCTTCTCCTTCTCTTCTCTTTCTTCTTTTCCTTCTTCTTTTTTCTTCTGTATGGTCCCCTTCTCTAGTTTCTTCTTTCCCCACATTTCACTCTTCCTCTCTTCCTGTATTCTGTTCCATGCCTCTTTCTTCTCTTTATTTCCTCCTTCCCATTCCTTCTTCTCCTTCTTGTCCCTGTTCTTCCTCCTTCCCTCTCCTCTCCACCTCGTCCTCCAATTCCTTCTTCTTCTTCTCCTCGTCCTCCACTTTCTTCACCTTCGTCTTCCTCCCTTCCACTTCTTCTCCTCTCCTCTCCTCCTCCTCCTCCATCCTCTCCTCATCCTCCTTCCTCCATCCTCCATCCATCCTCCTCCTCCTCCTCCTCCTCCTCCTCCTCCTCCATCCATCCTCCTCCATCCTCCATCCTCCTCCTCCTCTTTCTCCTACGCCATCCGCACCAGGAAGACCTCCTCCACAAAGCGAGTGTAACTGGCCTTGTCTCACCTCCCCTCAACCCGCCCACCCGCCCACCCGCCCACCGCTGCACCTGTCGCCAGCACGGAGGCTGATCTGTGCCGCGGGCGTGAGGGGTGGGGGTGGGGGGGATGGAGTGGAGAGAGGGATGAGGAGGAGATGAGGAGGAGGAGGAGGAAGGGGATGGCGAGGGGGAGGACAGGGAGGAGGAGGAGAGGAGGAAGGGGATGGTGAGGGGGAGGACAGGTAGGAGAGGAGGAGTAGGAGAGGAGGAGTAGGAGGAGAGGAGAGGAGGAGGAAGGAGGAAGGAGAGGGGACGAGTGCCTAGGCAGGGCGAAGGGGTTGGTGAGAGGGAGGAACCGAAGGAGAAAGAGGTCGGGTA